TTTTTTTTTTTTTTTTGTAAGTGTACCCTGGTGGCCAGACATTTTTAAAAAATGTACCCCCAGCAGCCGAGGGAGGGGAGGGAGATGGCACACAGCTGGACATGGAGCTGGTATACACTGGGAAGCAGTGGTGCAGGGTGCTGGGAAGCTTCCTCCTCCCAACCCGTGTCCCTCCGGCCAGAAGGCACCACTGCCATCGCCCACCCCCAGCCCTGCTCCTGGGAGGCAGCAGTGCTCAGCCCCTGCCTGCCCACGCACACTCGCTAGGGCCCTCCCAACTACCCCCAAGGGTACATATACCCCAGTTGACAACCCCTGATGTAATGTAAAGAAAGACTACTTTGTTAATCTACAGATTTTGCTTTCACTACATAAGCAAAGGCCACTTTCCCCAAGAGAAGAATTAAAGTTCAGAAATCTGTTTTTTCCCTCCTCTCACAGAGCTGTTGGAAATTCAGGTAACTCTGCTTCTTATGTTTTGCTACTCTAACAAATCAAAGAACTGAAATGGTAAGGCTCACCTACTGATAGAGGCTGAAAAGCTGTGGGTGATCTTAAGAAAGCTGTTAGCCTTTTCTTTTAGTGAAATCCTAATTTAGAAAGTGGGACACTGCCAAGCAAAAGCAAAGGAAGCTTTGCTCAGACATCAGGGCATCTAGTAAAGAGATCCGTGGTTCACTAAAAGCAGGTGTCCATAACCTTTTCCACAGAAAATTAAATGTGAACAAGCAGGCTTTTCAGCAGTCCACAGAATTACCCCTCAGCACCAGATACCTTCCTACAAAAAAATGCCAGCCTAGAGGCCCAAACATAATAAAGCAATATGCAAGGCCCCAAAACTTCAGAAAAGTTTCCATGGAGTAGCCCACTTTTCCTCCTAAGATGACTGCTTTCCCTGTGAAGCCTAGTCATAACTGCTTGCAGAAAAAAGGATGGTTAGCAAGTGGCAGAAGGAGCCAACACTATGCACCAAATCTAACAAGCTCTTAAAATAAATCTTCATTCAGAGATCTCAAAGCACAGAAAACTAGCAAATGGTACAGAGGCCAATTTCAGAGTTTAATTTCCCTGCTATGATACTACATTGCTTCAGGATAGCCCATGAAGCCAGAGGAAGGGCAATATTCCATGTCTACAGATTCCTCCAAGTACCCAAGGGGAAGTACAGAACAGACTGGATTATAATGATATTTGTTGGGCCCTCTTGGCCATAACCTTCACAAAGCTTCCAAGACAAAGAACATGCATGCACACACCCATCTGGAAAAACTGTGTGTACACTGATGCCAGTTTTCTGCAGTTGCACTAAAAAAAGCACAGCACCTAGCAGGAATATTATTCAAGCCATGCAATAAGTGTTTACTATTGGTTCTCTGCTACTGTAAGCAAACAGCAACCTCATAGAGAAATTAAATGTCCCCTTCACCCCCCTTTCAGAGTTTGTTTGAAAAAACAACAGGCCTTTTTGCTTATGAGGATACCATTACTATGTCAACTAGCAACAACCAAATGCTTCAGCTTAGACCATTCCCATGCTGCTGCTGATTTAACTCATACCTTCGCTGTGCAACTCCCTATCTTCCCTAATATACGGGGAGGAAGGTGGTGGCTGATGGTGCTCTAAAAGTTGAGCTCCACTGTCCTACATGATAGATATTTAATTGTTTATGCTACAACTGGGGTCACAGTTTATAGTTTAGTAGTTTATAGTTCCTTCATTTTCACATGAACACGAGACATTTTGCAAGGCCAAGAGTCAACTGTTAAGACAGACTTACATCTAGACAAGTTGTTAAGAGGGGGCCCCTGTGGCCAAATAAGTAATTTGTTGGTGACAAATGGCAAAAGCAAGAGCTTTCTAGGAAAGACTGAAGTTTTGGATCCATTTAGAGGCAGTAAAGGTTTCCATTACAACTCCAAAAAGGTTATTACATATATAAATTGTTTTCCAGCAAGTTAGTACTCAACAGGAGGTAGAAGTAAAAAGTCAGTTATGATCCAGATCCAAACTTTCTGCACACTTCTGATTTCTACATGAACTTCAGCAACATGATTTTAATAGTAAAACCCAAGGTTGTCAATGCTTTGGGCTTCATGCCTCAAGTAAAAGTTTCATACTAAAATAGTTTGAGCAAGAGACATGCAACAGAATTAACACATACAGGTTACGTACAACACTACTTTGCAAAGATGTGGACAATGGTCTTTGGGTTTATTTTTAACTATACAAAAAAACAAGAGACCCACACACCCTGCAGCATCTTTCTAGTGACACTTGAGATTCTTACCTTTAGTTCATTCTCCTTATCAGTCTGTTAATCTGGTCTTCTCTGTTTCCAGCATCTCCACCTTCAACAAAGTGGATAGTTTTCTTCTTCATCCCACCTCGAGGAGATGATAACTTGAAGGGCCACAAAAAGTTGTTTACAGCTTTGAAGTTTTTACCCACAGTGTAGATTTCATGGATCACATCTTCCATGCAAATGACACCAAACTTTCCTAAGAGTATGGAAACAGCAATTACGTAACTGACAGGTTAATGGTCATTGCCAGCGAATTGACAAGCTACAAAACAATTCATAAAAATATTATGTTCAATAACCAATAGCACTTTATATTAGTCGCCTGCGTTAAGACTGCATGAATCAGCAGGACATTTTCTTTTCAAAATCAGTTAACATTTTTCCTTATGCCGATTGCTAGTTTCCATTTCACTGAACAAGAGGCAGCAGCACTTTAGTTTAAGATCTGCAACGAGCAATAGGGGGAAGAGGGGAAACCACAACCAGTTTTAATGTAGTTTTGATAAGACTTTTGTTCTAGTGCCACTTTAAGAAAAGCTTACCCAACTGCCTATAGCTTTACACTAAAGTGTAAAAGTGATTTTCACTTCACATGAACAGTGAGTGTCAGAAGAGCATTTCTGTATCCAATGAAATTTTTAAAGGTCAAGAACAAGGATTTCACCAGGGCATGTGGTAATACAATACAGCAATCTAGAGCTTTTGCATGCAATCCCCATTTAGAACTTCAGTGCACTTTCCTACTCCAGATAAAGAATTAATTTAGCATCATTTGTGGAGATGATACACATATCTGAACTATGATTGCTCAGCTAAAAGCAGCACTACACAAGAAGCAAATATACTTTTTCTGTAACAAAAATGTGCATGAAGAACAAGCAAGAACAATCTGAACTGCAGACAAACTATTTCACCTCCTTTAACTCCAGAGGAACAAAAAGAGGAGCTTCACCTTTTTCCACAAGAGTGAAAAACACTGTACAGTACTGGAAAGTACCCCACAGGCTAGAATCCATGGTCATATAAACCTATTCAAACTTAAACATTTCTCTTAAATTAGGATGTTTGACCGCAGCTCCTCAACTGGGTTACAAGTCACAAAGCCACTGTGATGGGGCCTTAGCAGTAACTTCTTATGCCAAAATATTGAGTATAAAACTACTGTTTAATTAAGTCAGATAATATTCACTGAACGTATTAAGTTTCATCTCTGTTTAGAAATATTTACCTATGTTTCAAACATTTTTCCACTTGATTAATCATGGCATTTTCTAGAGGTGCACCAATATATCAGTTGTATATCAGATTGGCATTGATAAAAGGAAAATTAACATCATTGGGTATCAGCTTTTTTTTTTTTTTGGCTGATTAGTTGATTAATGTTCTCTAGTAATTTAATTATTCCAGGGCCCCCGAATGCCTGGGTTCCCCCCCACTACCTTGGGTGACCCCAGATACATTCCCAGTCCCTCACTGGTGGGCCAGACTGGGCTGGAGTACAGCAGCTACTGCAGTGTCCTGGGCACTGGGGCAACAGACTGCAGACTGGGGTGGGCACTGTAAAAGGCACTGAATGTCAGAGACATAACAGATACAGAGGGGCAGGCAGAGCTGAGCTGCCTGTCCCAGTGTGACTTAGCCCACAGTGCCCAGGGGTGTGTGCCCCAAGGGCCAGGGGCAGAGACTGGCAGGGGGCAGCTGCCCCTTCCCACCCCCCCAGCTGTGTGTAGCAGGGTCCTTCCGCCAGCAGGGAGCCTCTGGGAGCTGGGGGGGGAGGGGAAGAAGAGGGCAGGGGACAGCACTTTAAATAAAGCGGCTCTTGGAGCTGCTGTAATTGAAGTGCCCACAGACCACCTAACTCTGGGCAGCCTCAGACTAAAGCAGCTGTCCCCAGACTAGGGGTGAAGGGCAGGGGCTGCAAGTATCATGGGGCACTTTTACATGTGCCCCAGGAATGGTGGGAAGACAGCACTTCTGAGAGCCACTCTAATTAAAGTGCTGCCGTATCTCCTGTATCAGTACCCCCACACTTAGAAATAACAGAATTATTCAATATCAGTATCAGCGGATATGGCTGGTTAAATCATCAGCTACTGGTATCAGCCAAGAAAATCTCTCTCAGTGCACCCCAAGTATTTTCTCCTACAGCCCTGCATGCGTCACTGACTTTCCTCCCTACTTGGAATAAAAGAGCCATGGTCAAAGCAGTAGTTTTCTCCCCACAGAAACCAAGTTTCTTGAAAGGCAAGCTTTGCAGTTAACAAAAAAATTAACAGTTCTATAGCTAGTTTGTTAAAGGTAGCTTCCAATGCATTTCTTCCACCCTGCTTTTCAGAAATATGGATTACAACATTGAAAACTTTCTTTTTTCCAGGGATAGGTTTTCTACTGGCAGTTAAGGGGATCACTCAAAGACTTGTGATCTGATTTAACTATGCAGTCTAACTATAAGAGAAAGTAAATGTAAAATAAGTTGCATTTACCAAGACATTTTTCAATCAGAGAATTATCGGTGAGAGCAACACGCTGTTTGTTGATCTTGCCATAACCACGCTTGTAGATCAATTCATGAACAGATTTCAGATTGGGGTAACTGAAATAAAGGAATTGGATACAAATTAAAAGGGTGTACTACTCTGACTATACAATTTACACCAATAAATAAATGCTCAAAAGCAAATTTCCATGCTTAGTTCACTATGAACTCAAGCAATGGTCAGCAATGTTTTCCTAACAGAAGGACAGAACAACTCAGCTGCTGTTGCTACTGTGGCTCAGCTGGGGTATGGCACAGGTGAAGCTCTTGTGCCTTGGTGCCCAACCACAGTGCACCAAAACATGGGCAAAGGCCCCTGCCACCAAAGCTCCTGAATTGTGAGCTGTACCCAACAGCTCTGAAGGCTTGATAGGCTGCCAACCTGTTTCAAAGGATATAAATCCACAGGCAACAAATATAGGGAAAAAACACAGTGCCTCTGGTTCTGCCACTGGGAGTTCATAATGAATAATTAAGTAGTATCAAACCATACACAGCATTTACCTTTTATACTGCTTAAGGTTATAGTCTGTAAAGTTTGTGTTCCCTAAGAAAGCAAGTGTGATGAAGCAGAAGTCGTACACAAAATGTGTTAAGTCTGAAGGCTTTTACTTGAATAGGTAGGGAGTCTGTACTTCTAGTATTGTATAGTACATCAAAAGCCAAGAAGCTAAGTGAATTAGAAATTAAACAAAGGCTAAAATTGAGAGAAATGCAAAATTTCTACTTACCCCCATGCAATGTAGGGTTCAACGATACGCAGCATGTTTATGGATGCCTTGTTGAGTTTTACAAATGTGCCATTGAAAATCTGACGCAAGCGAAGAAGCTGCAATACTTTGCGAACCTTGGGACTAACACCATTGATACTGCAAAGCACAAAAAAGATGCTCGAACTTGTCTACTTACAGTACAACTCGAAAATAGCTTTAAGTGTTTGGCTCTGCTAATAATTACTAAACCAGTGTTCCACCCATCTACCAATACATCATTATTGATACACTTATCAGTAAGTCAAAGTAACAACATACATGAATTGTACAATTACCAACTCTAGCTAGGTTTACTCTTCAAAACTGATGAAAATAGAGCCGATCTACTTCAAGATTCTTTTTATAAAAGAAAAAGTTTCTAGTTTATCCTGAGGACAAAGTATGAGCTGCTTAGTGCCAAAGATGGCAGGACTTACAATCAGGAATTGTAGAAGACACTCCCCCCTTGGTAGATTTTAGGTACTCAACTCCCTGAACCGCCACCCAAGGCAGAGCCAAGGAAGGTGGCTGAGCAGCCACCTCTCTCTCATTAGGTGCAAAAATCACACCTGCAGAACTGCCTGGCATAACCAGTAAGGCTCCTAGCTCCCAGCTGAATAGTAACAAGTATAGATCAGGGGTTTTCAACCTTTTTTGAGGAGTGCACCCCTCCTGATGGGTAACCTCTTCTGGATGTGGGAGGGGGTTTGGTTCCCCTGGGGGCCCACCCATGAGCAAGGGGAGGGGGGTCCCCTGGCAGCTGAATGTAGTGATGCAAGGTAGCGGCACACCACATAGGCCCCCTAGGGCCTTCCCAAGTACCCCCGGTTCTTAACCCCTGATGTAGATAGAACAGCACTCAAAGTCTCCTGAAGGCCCTGATCAGCTCAGCCCCAACTCAGCACACTTAATACAGACAGGATCAGGCCATTCACAAAATGCAGCTGCAACTTTGTTCTTTAAAAACCAGTAGGTAGTGGACTTGCCCAAGAAGCAGACCCATATTCTAGGACTCCTCAGTCTGCTAGGGTTTAAGCCTACACATGCAACTTCCCAGTAAGGTGCTCCAATACTACCAGACTATAATCCAGGCAATGAGCAGGAACTAGAACTCAGGACTCCTTCACCCTGTTGAGTGCCTTTATTACTGAGCTAGAGCCAACCTCCCTCCAACTCTTTCTGGGCCAGGAATTGTGCATTTCCTTTTGTGCAAGAACAGTGAGGCATGCTCTCACATCACAAGCTGTATAATAGAACACTCTCCCAGGAGGTGCAAATGTGAGTTTGAACTCTCACAGGTTGAGGGGGACCTAAATGCCAGGGATCTGGCTTGTCAAGCAACCATGAAATAGAAGCACCATAATCTCCTATTAACTTGTTTAAAAGGAAAATAATGAGCCCTGTTCTGTTTTTCAGGTTACCGAAAGTCCTGTCATATAGACTGAAAGTTACAATCATCAGCTTCCAAGCAAGTTTTCATTACCTACTACAGAGAATTTTAAATACCTCAACTACAGATGTTTCTTACAACTTGATGGGCAAATTTCCCAGCATTTACAGACACAGGAAATCTGTTCTTAATCAATACAAATATCAGAGTATTTACACTTACCCTCTGATCCTGATCACAAATGCCAGTTTTGGTTCAGCGGGTACATAGTAATTGCCAGCTTTCCGAGCCATGCGAGCCATACGAATCTCCTGCCTATACATTTTCCTGTATTCCTTGTGGTAGGTCTGAGCTCTTGCATAGATCAGTTCTCTTTGTGCCTTACGAAGCTGAAATTAGGATATGTCAGCCAAAGACATAGCACAATGGAGTTAACCTACAGCAGCTCAATAACAATGACTCCCAGGCATAAGCAAGCTTCACAAAATGTGGACTTTAATTACATAAAGACAGCCTAACACACTAATGTAGAAAGATCAACTTCAACTTTAACACAGCAGCATTGCCTAAGGACTCCCTGTATACATAAGAGTCCTAATTTATCACCCAAAATGCTACTGAAGCATTTTGGGTGATAAATTAGGACAAACAGGTTTTTTGGTTTTTTTTAAACTTGGGATATAAAGGCTGTCACAGTGATATTTTTGACAAAGCTGCTGAAGGGCTTTATAGATATGCCAACAAGAAACGTACTCCTAATGCCTAATCCTTATGGGACAGGATACCTTCTGTAACAGCTTTCTTTTGTCCACTAACAAGCACTGTCATCTCTGCTCTACAAGCAACCACCTCTGAACTTTAAAGCTTAAGACTTCCCATAAGAATACTTCCCTAAAATTTCTGTTTTCTGTTAAGAGAATCAGAACTCTGACTAAAAAACAACAGGTTGAATGCTTATTTAACAACTATTCATGTCAGAGAATTTTACCAATACAAGTATTTAACAAAATATTAGACTTGTACAGTTCCTCACTTCAAGAACTAGCTTTAATGCACAGCAATATATTTTATTAAAACATACTTGTAACTGTTTACCTTCTTTTGAACCAAGAGTCTTTTCAGACGCTTAGCCTTTATATCTGCAAAAGCCTTTCGCTTTTTCAAAAGGCTTTCGGGGACCGATGGCACCTTCTTTGCTCTGTACAATTAAAAAACAAAAACCAGGCTATTGAAGTTGTAATATCTTATATATACACATCACCTGGTCAAATAAATGCAGACTCAGATTACACAGAAATTATGTTTTGCTTCCCCTCCCCATGCTATCATTGCTAGCTTGTACCTACCCTGAACTCCTCTTCACATTATAACAAGGCCATAGAGCATCTTTCACAGAGATGGAGAAGCCTATATGGGCTTTATGTAATCGTACACTGTGTACAGAAGCTGCGTTTTACTGCCAGAATTGAACTTCAAACTTGAATACACTCTTTGAGAACTGGTTCATTCCACTTAACAAGCAAGCCTCATGTTTACAGAGAGGGAACAGGAGTCTCTATTAAATATAAGATGTTTAAGCCTAGCTATATACCAAGAACTTGCTCTAAAACAGCACAGCAGTGGTCTGCCATGACACTATATAACCCGAACTAATTAAAGTCAGTGTTTCTCAATCTGTGGGTTGCAACAATATATGAAAGGCTCATGAACAAGCTTTAAAAATGGACTCTCCTTTACAGAAGAAAAAAAGTGTGCGAAACTGTGGTTTTTGGCTTGCAGGCTTGGGGCCCCACACACTGGTGAGCTGGGGCCTGAGAACAGCGGGTCAGGAGTGAGAGGGGCACTGGGTTGGGACTGGCCATTGATGTTGACAAGAGGGTCCTGGTACACAAAAGGTCGAGAACCCCTGAATTACATCTAGTAAAGCATCTTCAGGCTGAAAGAAAGAGGCTTCAGGTCTAGCGCTGTCCTCAGGTACTGTATGTAGCGGACTCCGCTTTGGGGCTTGGTCTGAAAACCTCTCCAACACACCGGCAGACAATCCGGGTAAATCCCGGATCTTTTATTAGACCAAGGAACCTCACCCACCCACATCCTTAGAGCAACACAGCTACAACTTGCGTCTCCAAGAAACCTTGTGGGTCCAGGCACTAACGGTGCCTGGCCCCTCCGTACTGCCTGCAAAGCTATGGGCCCGGATCTCCCCCACAAGGGTGAACCAGCGCTGCCCGCTCAGGCCCCCGCAGGCGCAGCAGGGCAAGGCGCTGGTCCCTTGCGCTCGGGGCCCAGGGCAGGCTCCAAGTCAGCGCCCCCCTTCCCCGGCTCGTCCGGCCTGAACCACAGCCCCGCTCCCAGCCACCCTCAAGCCCTAAAGCCGCGCGGAGCCCCGGGCCACACAGAGCCCAGCCCGGGGCGGCCAATGCGGGCGGCCGCGCGAAGGCAGGGACCCGATGGACGCGCTCCGGCGGCGGGACCGAGGGAGGGGGGACCCGCTGGCCCCGATGGCAGCGGATCGTGCCAGAGAACGGGTCGCACTCACTCTTTGCCCGCCATGATCGCCACCGGAAAGAGAGGGCGTGCGCATGCGCACCGCACGCTTAAGGAGCAGACGCGGCATGGCGGAAAGGACCCCTCTTCACCAGACGAGGTGACTAATACGGTGCCTGACACGTGCGCAGGTGCCTTCGCTGCTGCCTGCATTGAAAGGGTGCGGGAGTGCGTGCGTGGCCGGGGTCGGGCCTTAAATGCCCGCTGGGTATTAGGCGCTTTCCGTGGGAGTTCTATTGCAAACGCGTAAAGTGAGCGGTGGGTCAGGCCTAAGTTCAGCGCAGCTGTCCCCCAGGCCACATCGGGGCTGTGGACCGGGCCGGACCTGGGCTTCAGCAGAGTACTTGTGCCTGGGGAAAGGTGCCCCTCACCCCTTGCTGACACTGAAGGGGCTCTGTGCGCCCTCAAGAGCTGCTCAAGGTAATTCATCCATTGACCCTATAATAATTAACTCGCCCTTCTAGGATTACTTGCTCTTCTTATGTTGGCATCATTGTCAGTCCTTCAGTAGAGGATTGTCTTATTTGTGGGTCTGAAGATGGCTGATTGATGAGGCCTGTCTCGGGTCCACAGACTCTGTTGCCACTGGGGCATGTTTCCACGTGGGATGGGTGGCTCTGGGTTGTTGCTTTTGTCCATGAGCTGCTGTTTCTGCCACTCCCGTGTTCCATCTCGTGTTATCTTTAGGTTTTAAAGTACTGAGATCCTTGCAGCAGACTCTGTCCATTTGGGGCAGTCCTGGGTGATAGCCTCCCATTACTTGATGTCAGTGTTGCATTTTTTTTCCAAGTTGGCCTTGAGGAGATCCTTAAAGTGCTTCCTCTGTCCTCCTCTTGAGTGTACGCTTTGACTGAGTTTCTGGAGTCAGATGTTTGGATAATGTGGCTGGCTCAGCAAAGTTAATGTCGGTTGACCATCACCTCAGTGCTCATGGTGTTTGCTTGTTAGAGGACACTAATGTTGGTGCATCTGTCTTCTTTCCCACTGGATTTGTAGTATCTTCTGCAGGCAGCATTGATGATACTTCTCCAGCGACCTGAGGTGTCTCCTGTACATAGTTCACATCTTGGTTCCATACAGTAAAGTGGAGATCGCAACTTAATAAACCATGAGCTTGGTTTTGGATCCAATATTGCAATCTTTGAACACCTGTTTCCTTAGACATCCAAAGACTGCACTTGCACAATTGCGGTGACTGAAAGTGTGGCAGGTGTGAAGGTAGTGTTGGAGTGAAGCCACAGTGGCCCAAGAATGACATGAGAGGCAAGGGTGTTTTGGTAGTGGTATCTTTTCTTGGATCAGCTACACGGTTGGACTCAAATTCAACAAGTGGTCCAATGCAAGATTACCCCCACACCCTTTCCCCAACATCCTTTCCTCTGGCAGGTATTGACATTATGAGAGATGGAATTAATAGCAATATCCAAAATGTGATACCTGATCAAATGCCCTTACTGCAATGACATCAGTGAAACTGAACAGCAAGTATGCAACAGAATGAATGCTCACAGAAAAAATATAAAGTACAGAGATGTATGTTTACCGTTAGGAGTACATTGCTCACAGAATGGCTGCTCTGTCTCTGACCTCACAATCCTCATGCTCAAAGGAAATCCACCAAACACCTTTAAAAAGCAAATTTAGGAATAAAAATTCGTAAGATGGCTGGACCTTAAGAACAAAGGACTAAACACCAATATCAGATTTATGGCCTATTATAATTTATGTAACTCCTGAATACTTTCCACACAAGGAAGGTGAGGCTGACCCTCCTATTCTCCTTTTTGGTAGGCCTTCATCCAGCTTTTATTTTCTTCTGCTAATTTTGGGCACTGCAAGACTGGTGGGGGCCAGGAACCCTGTGCTTTACCAGAAGGGGCATTGTGCTTGACCGGGGTCCACAGTGTCGATAAATTGGTCACTTCCGGGAGGCTTTTTGCCACTTTTATCTAATAGCTGATTCAATCAGCTATTAGGTAAAGGTGCTAAAAAGTCCCACTCAAGCTCCCAATCTATACAGATGTTGGGCAAGCTGGGTCCAACTAAGATGATGCCTCTTCTGGGCTTTACCCCCACTACATAGTTGGTCCTGTAAAAGAAATCTTAAGAAATCCTTGCCTCTAGCATTTGAAAAGCAGCTCTACCAGTGTTTCGTAGATGCACATGTAAGAGCTACTATTCATGGTTGCACTCACTCGACTGGAGGATATTCTCCACCAAGGCTCATTGATGGGCCTTGAGGTGACTTAAGAGTCTAATACTTGAGCCACAGAAGTTGCAGCTGCAGGGGAGAAGGAGCCCTGGGCAGAGATTCCCACTGTGCATGTGTGCTGTGCCTTACTCCTGGCTATAACCAAACCGGAGGAGCTGAGCTGCCCATAAGCAGCGGAAACAACGCTAGGAGCTTGCCCGGGCGGTGCGGAGGTGCCCGAGTAGCCGGTCGTGCTCGGGCCTCGGCACCGCCCGCTGCTGTGGACGC